TTAATTTCTAAAAATATATTTTACGTTTCTCTCTTCTTATCAGGGAGGGCGGTGCCCCAGCGCCCCCTATGGGCCGGCCGCCACTGGTTGTAACTGTGTAAAAACGCATTTCTCTAAGATTTTAGATACCAAGGGTAGTTTGGAAATTGGGTGATAATTTGCCAAATTTGCATGATCATGGGTAGACTAGGGCTAGGCATAGTACCAGAAGCCAACCTGCTGTTGACTGCAGACTCAGCTCCGCAGTGATTTGGAGCTGCTTTGTAGCTCTCTATCCTGAAGCCAAACAAGCTTCAGGATTAAGAAGCTCAATATAATGAACCGCGCTGCCTTGTAAATTTGTGCAATTTTGTGCTGAAAGTCCTAAAAAGAAAAAGCTACAATGTATTTGAAAAAAAAGACATGGCTGAGCACACGTGGCTACTAGGGTATTTCAATTTTACATACAGAACTGCATTTCACTCATTGCATCCCTGCCACGCTGCAGTGTTTACATCTGAGACGAAGAATAAAAAGAAGAATCCTTATTTGAGCATGCGCACTGAACGATTTGCCCACGATGGTCGGGAGAAAATCAAACATGTATGATATTTTCCCAACCTCACAATTCCTGACCAGGAGGTGGTCCTGAGAGGCTGATCGCTGCCCGTAACACCCTGTACACTACACGACTCACAATCAGGCTGAAAGTCGGCCCGATCAAAAGATTCTCGCACGACTAGAAAATTGCCCCGAAAAATCGCAAAGTATACGCCGGGCTTTAACTGGACTTTGATATTATCTCCAGTACTCTCTAAGAATCACCTCCAAGTGATTCTTCTTCCACCTATGCTCCACTCTCCGACACTCACGCTGAACTGTGTTTGTAGTGTCATTGAGCAACGGTTCGAGCTTTGGCTTAGGACAAATGGCTCTAAGAGGAGCAACACTGTCCAGAGCTTCAGAGCAGGTGGAAAGAAAAGAGTTCATTAATTGCTCCATGTCTATGAATGCAGCAGAGTTTAGATGATCCAGAGAAGATGTTGGGTTTAAAAACCAAAGCAAATTAGACAGCTTCAGCTCCAAGTCCAAAGTAAGAACAAACATGACAGGACTGTGGTCAGAGAACACGGCATCCCAACAACGACATAGTTAACGGGAAAACCACTGGACAACACAATTGATGCCCAACACAAGTGCACGGGCACTTGTGTTGGGCCAACGACATGTTGAGTAAGATTAAAAATTCCCACAAGTCTAAAAACTCACTGGCCATGGGCTTAGAAGGACAACATATATACACATCAAAATACCCGACAATTAAAACCCTGTCAAAACTCGTGAGCACCCAGGCAACGAATTCTGGAAAGTCCTTAATAAACAACCTGGTAGACTTGGTCCGACTTGTTTGCACCAAGAATAGTACACGATTGCACCGTTTCCCTTATTTTTAGCAATTCTTGACGATTATACACCAGCTGGTCCTTATGACAGATGTTAAATGAGAATAAAACAAAAAAACTGAGCAGAACCAAGCCAAACCAGTACCAGACATTCAAAGGTTTCAGTTTAGACAAACGTGCTGTTAAACATTCCAAAATGTGTAATATATATATATACAATTATTACTTATTTTTTTCTCCAGAGCTGCTCTGTTGGATTCTATACTCCAAAGAAACATGTCAGCCAAAGAATCTGTGAGAAAAGAATTCAACAAGCTAGCCAGAGTTAAGGTGAGCTTTAATAATTAAAAATAAATCCAACAGCAAAATAAGCCACTTCTAGATAAAGGATTCAAACACAATGCCTATTAACCTCTATTGTTTTAGAAACATTTCAATGAAGACTGTTTCCAAGTGTTCACGGTGAGCTCCAAAGAGTTTGTCAAGAGGAAATATCTAAGTCCAGAATACACCGGTAGGATAAGTATCCCTGTTTTGGGGTGATAAAAACTTTAGAATTGTGTTCAAAAAGATTACCTCTATAAGTTGAATTT